AAACGGAGCGTGTTGTCCAATCAATAATTGATCAATATTTTTTGGACCTTTCACATTTTTAAATGAATGTTGATGTTAATGTTTGTTAGCAATCAACCGATCAGAGAGAGATGAAAGGTCTGATTTCCCTGAGCGAATTCGGGATCATGCTTGGAGATAGATGTGATAAACGCTCCACTACCTTCGCCCCTGAAAAACACTTTTCATTTTTTATTTGATTGTAAGGGTGACCAGAAAGAGAACATCTCCCGCTCTCTCTGCCCCAAAGGCTGAGAGAAATTTGATTTATTGCAGTCTGGCCTACAAAGGATTTCAAGCAAAAATACCGGAAGCGACCCAGTAACTTCTAATTCTAGAAANGAGCGAGATTTCTAGTTGAGATACACGCTCGGACGACTCCTTTCATTGGTGATTCGTCAGATAAAACTTCATTCTTTTTGGAACACGCTGGTTTATATTATTATATTATTCTAATATTCTTCCTTTTGGAACAAATCTATTCCTCTTTCTCATCAAAGCCTCGTCTATTTCCTTCAAATGGTAGGTATAAATAGGTATAAAATAATGAGAAGGAGTGTAACCCATGAAGCCTCCTTTTCACGGTAGGCTTTTTGCAGGTTGCCACTTCACACTATCAAGAACTTCACAAGGCACAGCTCACTATTATGAATCTGGTTGCTATGCATAGAACAGTTCTATTGCTTATTGGAACTATAGTTATACTTATTACCTCTTACATATACTGGTAAGCAATGAAAATGACTGTTATTACAAAGGGACTACCCAGTCTACGACTCTTTTTTCAGGTCTCAGCATAACCAACCTTCAGGGTGAGTTTAAACGGAGCGTGTTGTCCAATCAATAATTGATCAATATTTTTTGGACCATTTATCCTTTTAAATGTGTGTTGTTGTTCATGTTTGTTATTGATGTTAATGTTTGTTGACAATTAACCGATCAGAGAGAGATGGAAGGTTCAATTTCCCTGAGCGAACTCGGGATCATGCTTGGAGATAGATGTGATTGACGCTAAACTATCTTCGCCCATGGAAAACACTTTTCCATTTCTTATTCAATGGTAACGATGGCCAAAAAGAGAACATTTCCCGCTCTCTCTGCCCCAAAGGCTGAGAAAAATTTCATTTATTGCAGTCTGGCCNACAGAGGATTCCAAGCAAAAATACCGGAAGCGACCCGGTAACTTCTAATTCTAGAAAAGTTTGAAAGCACTTTTTTTTTCGTTTCGATTTGTAAACAAAAAATAATACGAAATCAATTGTGATTGTATTGTGATTCTTCTGCTGACATGGTTGTTGGGTTTGAATTTCTACCAGTGGCTTCACGAAAAAAATCAAAATACAAATACAAATAAGAAAAAAATAAAATAAAAATAGATCAAAATGAAATTAAAAAATTAAATAAATAAAATCACTACATCTCTATATATCTCATATATTGATTTCGTATTTATCTGCATTTTATTAGAAGATATTGGATAAAGATTTTGAGTGTTGATCAGTCCCGCTCTGGATGCAGTTATCTCTCTAACTTAGTCAATAATTATCGATCAGTAAGTCGTCACGGAATGGATTTGCATCTCCTTCTTCAGATTGCTAGCAACTGCAGAGAACTACGTTGATCTGGTAGACAGAAGGGTTACCGTCTTTGCAGTCGATCACTTTCGAGAAGTTCATCAGTCGATTCCCATCCCTGTGCTGGATTTCAAACAAAGGCCCGTATGTAAAAAGGTAATTCAATAATTTTAGAAGAAATCAATCTACAAAAAAAAACTTCGTCTGATGTTGAGGTCTTTGATGACTGGCT